ATATTTATATATATATATATATATATATATATATATATATATATATATATATATATATATATATATATATATAATTTGAGAGTGACTCTTGAAGGACCAGCACCACATCCTCTTGTACCGCTGTTTGAAGAATTTATCTTCCAGAATCTGCCAGTAAGTTTTGGGAGTTCATTTTTAGTCCATCTCGAGATTTTATCTGTAGAAGATAACCTGCTTAATTATGCACACCTGAATATAAGGCATTTTTCACTTACAGCCTTCATGAACAATATGCTAACATATAGGGTATAAGTGACTAAATACAAGATTAATAGTATTTATTAAGATTGATGTTGTTTGGAATTGGTAAAATGTGCGTGGAAAAAAATATAATCAGAATATCAACTTAGCATAATAATTATGCATGCACTGTATTTTGCCTCTTCCGCTGTCATCAGTAATGCAAGGAATGTTGTGATTGGTTGTCAAGGCAGCCAGTCAGAATTTATCAGCCTCGTCTCTTATTGGCTGGAATTATGGCATATTGTAACGCTGGGTTGTGTTGAGCAAGCGAGCCGTCGGCATGTAGAGACTAGAGAGCACTGAGGGCGGGCATCAGGAGTAAGCTAGTGAAACGTTGCATGCGCAAAAGAGAAGGTCTGCACACATCCAAAAACTTACTTTAAATGCAAAATTGATTTTAGTGCGCTCAAAATACTTTTTTCTTTGCGAAACGAACATTTTCTCCACAAAACTCAGAACGCACGCGTGCAAAATGCACTTTTGTGCGCTCAAAATATGATCTTTCGCACGCAGAATTGTGGCAGAGATCTAACCCTATACAATATGCCTTTTAAGAAACGTGAATAAAATAAATTTTCAGAGAGCGCAAAGCAAAAAAAAAACCTAATGTTGGGGAAATGGCAAAGCAGCCCAAGCTCCTGTTGCCACAGTAACACTTGTGTGGAGGACCATAAAGACGGCCCACCTCTCCAGCACATAAACTGTGAACGAGACTACATCCTTATCAACAGAAGCAGCCAGAGGAAGGGAGCAAACACTACTCTGGGGACGGATCTTTATGAGCACTGATGGAAGAGCGTGGGAAGTGGAGAGATCTGTATCTCGCAGTACACGGATCCCAAGGCTGGGCTTTCCTTGCACTCTGTCTGCTCTGAAATCAACTGACAGAGTGTTGAAGTAATCAGAGCAGACCCGGCACTGCCTAGAGCCTCTTTTCCTCTCTCAAAACCATTCTGAGAGCCTGCCGTTGGATTTTGCAGCCTCATCGTTCTCTGAATCAACTGGTTTAGATCTCATTCACAGTTCTTGGACCTTCTGGACTCAAGAAGCAAAGACATGACACAGGTAGCATCCAGAACTGGAGACATCAGAGAAAAAGTGTTAGTCCAGAGTCTGGCTTTGGCACTGGTCTGGTCTTGACAGGGGCAGTAAAAGGAGTGGGAACATGTCAGGCTGGGCACTATGACCGCCTGCATGGAGCCCGTGGAATGTGCTGTGCTCAGCCACATGTCCACCCAGAGCCCCTCTCATCCACTACCTGGACGTCACACACTTTGTGACTGTTTTTGCTGACTACACATGTGGAAGTGTGTTGGCATATTCTGGCTTTAGCAGTCAAGGCATAGAGGTTAGTGAGATACTGAATTGATTTCTTTCTAAAAAGAAATAACTGCTTACATAAACTAATATACTGTAAAAAACTGTCTAAGTAATATTAAATAACATTGTTTTTAAGGTATCAGTCTTACAGTTTTGTCTGGTGGATGAAACACACACACACACAAAAAAAAAAACTGAAGGAGGGGCCTGACTTGAATTTAGGGACCAGGATATACGAGATTTAAGGTTGAGTCACAGTTACCTTTGTATGACAAAATATATTCATCTCAATAGGAATCAGCATTTCACATTGGATTCAAGTTTGTTAAAATACAAACATGCTAATTTGCCATGTTGACCACTACCTAAGAAAACCCTAAAGTCTATTTGGCTCACCAAAGCTGCATTTGTTTGATCAGAAGAAGTAGCAAAAAAAAAAGTAGCATATTACAGTGAAATATTATTATAGGTAATCCAAACACCCTATCAACAGCACAGCCACATACAAAAATCGACTTAAACCACTTATGGCGCGTTTCCACTGCATGGGACGGCACGGTACGGTTTGGTACGGTTCACTTTTGGGAGGTTTTCCACTGGGTACAGTACCTGGTACCTGGTACTTTTTTTAGTACCACCTCGGTTGAGGTTCCAAGTGAACCGTACCATTACCAAAACGTGACATGTAAACTCTGCTGATCAACTGATTGGCCGGAGAGAGTCGGCACTACCTGCGTCACTGAACTTGCGACACACAACAGAACCACTAGATTTAAATCAGCACAGCCGGAAGGATCGAACGCCACTTTTGAATGAGCGCACCTTTTTTTTAAACAACCAAAAAGTGGCTGTTTCGTGGTCTGTTGAGGAAGTACAGACGTTGTGGTCTCAGAAGAAATAGTCTGCTTCAACAAGTCTGCTGCCTAAGCTTTTGGACGCAGCCATATTTTTATAAGAACATTTCCTATCGGATTAGATCTGGTCAAACAGATCACATGGTTGATAATGTGAACTAATTTCAGTCCTAGGTAGCAAAACACTAAAAACATTGGACTTAAAAACCCAATTGGTTATTTTTAACCAAAGGGCTGGGTATAATACACACATTTTGGGTTAATTTTACCCAGCAAATTGGGTTGGTTTAACCCAGCTAATGGGCAGATTCATTTTTACTATAATACTATATTTTTTTACTTCATACATAAATATTTACAGATTAACGTAAACCCTCTCAACCTTTGTAAAATGTTCCACAACCACTGGTTTGCATAACTTCCGTTTATTTATATCATTAACAGCATTGCTTATCGTTTTTAAATACATAGACTACCTAGATTTGAACTCATTTAACAAACATTAGAAGTAAAAATTAAACCGAAGTAATTCACGTGTAATCAACCAGTCTGTTATTTGGTTTCCACCGAAACGGCACTGGTTCTCGTGGCAGAGCTGGATCAGTGTTCAGTGGGGAACTGCTAATGGCTAGGACCATCGCCCAGACGAAATATACTGTGACTGCCTCTACCCAAACATTGGGTTGTTACATTTGATCCAGGAGAGGAGTAACAAACTACCCAAACAAAACAATTTCTTTCAGTGTACGTACTTGCCAAATTATGCGTTGCAGGAACTAGGAAAACATCCACTGAAATTGGGCTGAATTTTTTGTAATTTTAATTTACCTCATTGCACAACTTATTGAAGGCAGACTCTGACTGTTGCTGCAGGTCAATTTGAATGGTTTTTAATTTTTGCCCATCAATGGTGAGGGAGCTCCCATAGTATTGTTAAAGACTTACCAGGTAGCGTTGACAAA